GTTGAGTTGAATACTCAAGTAATATCCACCCAATTCACTCTCTAAGCATTATTTGTGTTTGTGTAAACACAAAGAATTATAGCAATAACTGGAAAACTGTTGTGGTTCATTTAGAGAGGAACTTCACCAAACTCACAGAACATTTGCAAACTTTAACACAAATGGTACTAGGCTTAGTCATAAGTCAATGTCTAAGTCCAACACAGTACAAATGATACAATAATGACATTAACCAGTGTACAAATACCAGGAAGTCATCATATGGAATCATCACATACACAAATTGCTATAATTATCCTACCACTATTGTCATGTGGAAAATTTTATATTAAGTCAGAATTCACATTTTCTGATAAAAACAAAACAAAACATATCTTTACTTGTATCAGCTTCAGAAAATTAGACAGAGAGAGTCAACAGTTGCCTGACTTACAGGCAGTCCTGCTGAGTGCTAGAAATCAACTATTTTGAAATAGATTTTGAAGACTGGACAGAATTTAAGAAAGCTTTAATTGATTTCTATCCTATTATAATTGACAAAATAATACAAGTTCAAAAATTGTCAAAAATATAAATGTAACAGAAGAAAACTGCCAAAACGTTTCTACAGTTTGTGTATTATTAAGCACAAAGCTACACAATGGGTGATTTGTGCTCTGCCCACTACAGTATCAAACCCAATTTTTTAGCATTGTAAGCTCTTAGACTTACCACAGAGGGCTGTTTAATAGGAAAATAATTAACTTTTTTGAAACTGTTGAACTCTCAAGATAGTGACACTGTCCAAAAATGGTGATCAATATGAGAACATTTACAACTTCATCATGCCAATTCTATTGCCAGTATTCTAAAACTGAGGAAGCAATATAAATATCACCATAAAATTAACAACTCTGAAGCTGTCAATAAAACTACAAAAGACTGAAATGGAAATTAAAATATTAGTAGTTATACATGTAATTAATGTGTAATCTGTCTAAAGAACCAAAATGTTAAAAATAGAAACATTGACAAAGATTAAAAGGCAGTCAGGAAATGCCAGAACAGGTCAATGACATGGGTGTAGAACCCACTAGAAGCTAAACCCTCTGGACTTTATTTAACTCTTTCAACCCGGGCTCAGTCACTGGGACCAGCCTCATAACATTTTGTGCTTGTTACAGTTTTCATGCTATAACATTTAAATTAGTAAGTGAATGTTAATGAAATTTGGCAGTTTATCAGTAAATATTACAATGCTTTCATACACAAAATATCTAATTTTTTTATTAAGTCTTAATGTTTGTAAAGCAATGTTTCTCTCATGTCCTTTTTTTTTTCTCTTCACATCTTGCCTATC